CGGGCTCGGGCCCAGAGGGCTGCCGACTCCGACTGAGGCTGTTCCGGGAGATTTTTGACCCCCACCGGGCCGTCATGCTCCTGATCCCGGGAGGGGGCAGGCGGGGCCGGGCGGGTTGGCAGCCCGAGGCTCAGGGCCGGCACTCGGTGTGGAGCTGGGGCGGGCAGGCCAGCAAAGACCGGGCATGGTGACGTGGTCATTGGCCTCCCTCCGGCCTGTCCCCTCCGCTCTGCAGCCTTTTCACGCTCTGCTTCCGGAGGCCCCTGGTCCTTCTGGTCTCCTGCTGTTCCCCCCTGCCCCTCTGCCAGAGCCCTTCAGAGTCGGGGTGCCCAGGGTGGAGTCCACTGCCCCAGAAATCAGAAGCTCAGAACAGCTGGTCCTGAGAAGAGGTTCCTGGTGCACAAGCAGCCGGTGGAACTCCTTGCTGCTGGGCCACCAGCGGAACCAGCAGTGGATTAAAGGTTTCCATGGAGACCAGGAGCAGCCAGGCTGGGAGTGGGGGGCACTGGCTGGGCTCCCACCCTCAGGAGGGAAATCCCCTTGGGGCTGGGTGATTCCACCACGGGCCACTAGGGGGGGTGTCACCCCTCCCCGGGGAGCACCTGGCCCTGGCGGCTGCGGGAGACGGGACACCGGGGTAGATGGGCCCTGCTCGGATGCAGGAGACGATTTCTAGGCTGCAGGGACATTCCCAGCATGAACCCGGATAACGAGGCTTTGGTGGGAGGAGGGAAATCCCCTTGGGGCTGGGTGATTCCACCACGGGCCACTAGGGGGGGTGTCACCCCTCCCCGGGGAGCACCTGGCCCTGGCGGCTGCGGGAGACGGGACACCGGGGTAGATGGGCCCTGCTCGGATGCAGGAGACGATTTCTAGGCTGCAGGGACATTCCCAGCATGAACCCGGATAACGAGGCTTTGGTGGGAGACGGGGACCAGCTAGTGGTTTTACTAGTCCACCCCCACCCCTCTGCCCCTGTTATCCCTCTCCCCAAGCCCCCTTGCTCGTGCCCTTCCCCACACAACCTCAGATCATCCCCCCTACCCTCCCAGCTGCTGGCACTTTCTAGCTCTCGGTTGCCCCTGTGGTGCTCCAGATAGAGCTGGCCTGGCAGGAGACACAGCCTGGCTGGGAGGTGGGTGACAGTCTGCGATCAGCGCCCCATGGGCAGGGCCAGGTTGCTTGGGGTCGATAAGCACTCGGCAGCAGGGTGAGGATGCGGCCCTGCCTGGTGGAGGGGTGTGCTGGGCAGGAGCCGAGGGGCGTCTCCAGTTCTGTAGAGGCAGATCCAGCCCCGAGCACCAGCCCAGGGGGTGTGCTAGTTGGGGGTGTCCATCATGCATTTCCCAGTCCTTTGTATCTGCCCCCTCATTCTCAGCTGCACGGAGGTTTCCACAGTGCTGACCCCCAACCCCGATCTAGGGGGAAACGAACTCACCAAGCACCACGGCGCAGAGCGCGGCGAACCACACGACCCGTGTCAGCAGCAGCATCGTCCTCTCGCTGGGTCCTGTGGGGACATGCACCCGTCACGTCCTGCTACCCCCAGGAGGGGGCGCTGCTGGGCTGGAGTCAACCCCCCACCCCCACTCTGAGCCCCTGGGGATCAGCTATCCCTGCGCTCAGGCTGCCCCGGGCTCCAAGCCCATCCTGTCACCTGTGCGCAGCCTCCCAGCCCTGCCCCTATGTCCCTTCCTGGAGCAGCAGCTGCCCCTGGCTGGACTCACAGCCCCTGTCCAGCTGGGGCTGCACGGAGCAGAGCTGTGCTGGGGGCAGAGTCTTCAATGGAGACTGACGCCCCATGGGGGACACAGCGGTGCTGGCTTCTGCCCACTGCAACGAAACTCGAAATAAGATACGCCAGGTGTTCTTGCGACCCCCCTCTAAGTTGCTCACGACCACCCAAGACCCACAGTTTGAGAAATGCGGAGATACGCAATTTGAGCTGTGCAATTTGTGTATCTTATTTCAATCTTATTTCGAAATAGCTTATTTCCTAATTTGGCGTGATCTACACCTCACCGAATTTCGAAATAACCTGCTATTCCAAAACATTCCTTCCTCTTTGCAAAATGAGGTTTACAGGGACATCGGAATAGTAAGCCCATTATATTTCGAAATAATGGGCTCTCTGGGAAGACGCGGGATAGCTATTTTAGGATATTCCGGTATCCTGAAATAGTGTTGCCATGTAGACATAGCCTAAGAGAGATCCGGGATTAGGGTCCTGATATGCCAGGCACTGCCCAGACACACAGTGACCGAGATCAGGGCCCCGTCGGGCCGGGCGCCGCCCAGACACACAGTGACCGAGATCAGGGCCCCGTCGGGCCGGGCGCCGCCCAGACACACAGTGACCGAGATCAGGGCCCCGTCGGGCCGGGCGCCGCCCAGACACACAGTGACCGAGATCAGGGCCCGTCGGGCCGGGCGCCGCCCAGACACACAGTGACCGAGATCAGGGCCCGTCGGGCCGGGCGCCGCCCAGACACACAGTGACCGAGATCAGGGCCCGTCGGGCCGGGCGCCGCCCAGACACACAGTGACCGAGATCAGGGCCCGTCGGGCCGGGCGCCGCCCAGACACACAGTGACCGAGATCAGGGCCCGTCGGGCCGGGCGCCGCCCAGACACACAGTGACCGAGATCAGGGCCCGTCGGGCCGGGCGCCGCCCAGACACACAGTGACCGAGATCAGGGCCCGTCGGGCCGGGCGCCGCCCAGACACACAGTGACCGAGATCAGGGCCCGTCGGGCCGGGCGCCGCCCAGACACACAGTGACCGAGATCAGGGCCCGTCGGGCCGGGCGCCGCCCAGACACACAGTGACCGAGATCAGGGCCCGTCGGGCCGGGCGCCGCCCAGACACACAGTGACCGAGATCAGGGCCCGTCTGACCGAGATCGGGGCCCCGTCGGGCCGGGTGCCGCCCAGACACACAGTGACCGAGATCGGGGCCCCGTCGGGCCGGGTGCCGCCCAGACACACAGTGACCGAGATCGGGGCCCCGTCGGGCCGGGTGCCGCCCAGACACACAGTGACCGAGATCGGGGCCCCGTCGGGCCGGGTGCCGCCCAGACACACAGTGACCGAGATCGGGGCCCCGTCGGGCCGGGTGCCGCCCAGACACACAGTGACCGAGATCGGGGCCCCATCAGGCCGGGTGCCGCCCAGACACACAGTGACCGAGATCGGGGCCCCGTCGGGCCGGGCGCCGCCCAGACACGCAGTGACCGAGATCAGGTCCCCGTTGGGCCGGGTGCTGCCCAGACACACAGTGACCGAGATCAGGGCCCGTCGGGCCGGGTGCTGCCCAGACACACAGTGACCGAGATCAGGGCCCGTCGGGCCGGGTGCTGCCCAGACACACAGTGACCGAGATCAGGGCCCGTCGGGCCGGGTGCTGCCCAGACACACAGTGACCGAGATCGGGGCCCCGTTGGGCCGGGTGCTGCCCAGACACACAGTGACCGAGATCAGGGCTCCACCAGACAATGAATGACTGAGATCACAGCTCCATCGTGCCAGCTGTGAAGTGCTGAAGGCTGGAATGTTATTGCCCCAATAATGCTGTTTTGGCTGCCTGGTGCTTCTGTTCTTGTTCCTGGGACCATCCTTACCGCTATGCAGAATACTCAGATGTCTTCGACCTTGCAAGGTGGCCCTGGGTTCCTCCTGCTGCAGAGCTGCCGATCCCGACTGTGCTCCCCTCCTCAGGAGCCTTTTAAGGGAGCTGCTCCCCATCCCCTGCCAAGCTCCTCCTCTGGCTGGGCAGGTCTTGTGGGCGGTCAGGGCAAAGCTGCCAGAAGTATTGCCAGCGCCGTATTTTCCCATGTCACTGGGTTGTTTCTCCATTGCTCCCCACCCCACTTCCTCATCCACATCGTCAATAAGCAGGGCGGACCTGTGTTTGCCAGGCGTCTTCCTCGCTGAGCAAATCACACATGGAAATGGAAACAGAAGGGGCATTCCCTGCAATATCCCTACCCACTCTGCCACCAGTGTGCTGAGTGGTTCCCCCACTCCTCCCTCTCCAGGGCTGGGAGCATGGGATTCTGATGTGGAGCTACAAACCATTTGCTGCACCCAGTGTTCTTGGCACCAGATCTTGGACAAAACGAGCCCAAGCGAGGTGTCTGTGGAAAGCCGATGATTCACTGCTCCAGTTTACCCCGTTCCGAGGTAGGTATGATGGTTGTATTGGAAGTGATGACTATTGGCTCTGTTCTTGTTTTCCAGATGTTTCCTTCTAGTGCAATCTCTAGGCTTGGCCAATCTCTCGTGAAAGGGTTGCCCACCAAGCGACTAGCAGCACTTGACTGACAATGCACCTTGAGCGGTGCCGATCCACATCTGAGGAGCTTTGTGGGGAACCTTCTGACCGGCACGTAAGTAATGGCTGGTGCCCCCCAAAAAAGATGGAGTCGTGCATGGTCATGTGCCAAACTCCATCCTGGGACGAACTTTCACACAAGAGCCATAGGATTCCCTCTATGTGGGCGAGGGTACAAAAAGGCCCGTGCAGGTTCCTCCATCTTTGTCTTCATTCCAGCTCATCGCTTCTGGAGCATCTTTGCTAGGAATGGAGCCGGAAAGGACTGCTGCTCACAGAGGATGTATTCCAGAGACGTTTAAGTTAGCACTTTGCTCCATCTCTGCAGCAAGCCTGCACCAGAAACTTTGTACTGGGTGCATGTCATATGTTTCCTTTACTAATTTTACTCTCAACTCTTTCTTTCTTTCTTTCTTTCTTTCTTTCTTTCTTTCTTTCTTTCTTTCTTTCTTTCTTTCTTTCTTGAATAAACCTATAGATTTTAGAGGCTAAAGGACTGGCCCTTTTTGGGGTGAGATCTGAGGTACAAATTGACCTGGGATTGCAGTGGGTCCTTTGGGATCAGATGAACCCGTTCAGATTTGGTGAAACTGGTTTTCGTACCCTCTTCTCTGCATAAGGAGGGGTACTGGCTGTGCACAGGAGAAGCTGGAGTGCCTAATGGGATTTCTTGGGTGAATTCTTGCTTGCCAGTAGGGCACACAGAAATGACTACAGGTATGTCTACACTACAGCGTTATTTCAAAATAGCTTATTTCGAAATAAGGCATCTACACACAAAATGCATTTTGCTATTTCGAAATAGCGCGTCCACACTGAGTGGATGTTGAATCACATTTAAGGCCGGCCAGAACCAGGTCCAGAAGGGCATCAAGTCAGGAGTTACTTTGTGTGGCTGCTGCCTGAGGCTATCTGAGGTCTGTGCTTAAAGGGACCCCCCTGGACAGCCAGTTCTCAGCTTTCCCTGCTTGCTTGCCTACCTCATGAGGGACAGCAAAGCATTTTGTCTCTGCATGCTCTGGTTGCCCTCACTCGGGACACCACAGCACTCTGCAACTTGGAGCCAGAGCTGCCCCTGGGCTCTCTGGTGCTTCTCATGGATGCGTTGCTGCGAGCCTGGCTGCGCTTTCTGCAGGCTGCCACCCGGGCTGTCCAGTGGGGGGCTGTCTGGATCCAGGAGGCCCTGCAGGAGAGCTTCCACCCTGAGGAGCACTAAGAGCCTCCCTGGTCTGCCCCATTGGGGGCTTGTGCCTCTTTCCTCCCTCACGTCCTTTCACTTACCCCTCCCTAACCCCCCTTCCTGATGTCAAATAAAATACAAGTATTTTCATGAACACAAACTCCCTTTATTTACCAAAGGGGGGGGGGGAGATGAAACTCCGGTGAGACTGGGAAAGTAAGCGGGAGAGGGGAGGGGGAAACCTGTGAGGAGGGAGCTGGAAGGGGGAAGCAAGGGGAAGAAGGGGGAGGGGAAGCTCAGGGCTCAGCGTTGGGGGTCTCTCTGGACCAACTTGATCTCCACCCTGGATTAGGAAGGCTCCCGCCTACTCAGGGCCCTGGCAGGCTCCTGGGAGCCGGCAGACTGGTCCCGGG